CCCCCCCCCCAAACAACCCCCCCCCCCCCCCCCCCCCCCCCCCCCCAAGAAACCAAAGGTTGGGGGCCCCAACCTTTGGACTTCGGGCAATAGCACTAAGCCACACCTCAGTCATCATTGACCATCTTACTGTACCCATCTTACTGCGCTGCTAGTTAGGTCTAGGCTAGCTCAGTTGGGTGTTGTAGCTTCCTGTTGTACTTCACAAGAAAAAGGACTGTACTTCACCACCCCATCTAACAAGACCCCCAGGTCTGCATTTACAAAGAAGAGTGAACTTTCCTCAGCCATATCCTATTCATAACTGTTGAACACCACAGTATGAGGAGTCACTCTTGGCTTGTGGAATCTGAACTGCAGCTAGGCTTTATACGTGATGCCAGCGGCCTGAATGCTGGAAGATCCCAGCAATGGTGAGTACTTCCATCAATCTAGCTGTGTGATTTCCCACGAGAGACCCACAAAAGTCTGGTTGCATAATTAATGAGTGGAAAATTAGAAGATTACACAAGAAAAGTCACTCTGAGGTTCATTAATGTAAGTAAAGATGTAATTAAGTGAAATTACTAAGTCCCTTTTTATTCTTTCGTGGGATGAGGGTGTTGCTGACCAGGCAGCATTTATTGCCCATTCCTAATTGCCGAAAGGTCAATTTAGAGTCAACCACATGGCTGTGGGTCTGGAGTCCCATGTAGGCCAGACCAGGTAACGATAGCCGTTTCCTTCCCTAATGGACATCAGCGAACCAGATGGGTTTTTCCGACAATCGACAATGGGTTTATCATTAGATTCTTAATTCCAGATATTTTGATTTCCAATTCCACCATCTGCCGTGGCGGGATTTGAACCTGGGTCCCCAGACATTATATGGGGTCTCTGGATTAACAGTCCAGCAATAATACCACTAGGCCATTGCCTCCCCGAAGTAGATCATTAAAACACATTAAGGGTGTCAGAACAACTGCAGTATGTGAGACGTCCTGGATGTCAGTTTGTTCCACAGCGAACTAACTGCAGAAAGTGTTTGAAGGTAGGAGTTCTGGCTCAGAGTTTGAACTGGAGGCTGAACTACAGACGGTGCAAGATATCAGGGAGGGGAGAAATTATCTGAATCTTTGTACCAGGAGGCAGTCATACCTGTTGGGATTGAGTTGTTTGATTTGGTCACTGTTCAGAGACAAGGTGGTTGAGTGTGAGGCAGGTAAGGAAACTGAGAGGGCAGGAGTGTGGGAGCCTCCGACTTTGCAAATGTCCAACATGTTTGAGGTCTTTCAGCTTGTTTAAATGAGAATAAGAGTGGCTGGGTGGCTATGCTAACTGATCTTGGCACTACAGTACAGGAAACCATTCAAGTGGAGTCTGGGAGTAAGAAGGAATGTTGCATAGTCGGGACAGGATCGTGAGGGGATTGACCTCATTTTTTGCAGCAAAATGTGAGACATGACTGTGTTGTCTTCCCAGTGCTAGGGTTCAGGACATCTGCCAAGGGCCGGCAAGGAACTTACATGATGAGAATCCAATCACTGTGGTCCATGTAGGTCCATGACATTAGTAGGGCAAAGAAGGAGATGTTGCAAAATCAGTATGAGGAGCTAGGTGCCAAATTAAGAAGCAGAACTTTGAAGGTCATACTCTTTAGATTATTATCTGAGCCAATGAAAACTAGCATTGGGTAAATCAAATTAGAGATGAATGTATAACTTGTGCACCAATGTGAGAGAAATCTGGTTCACGAAGGGCTGGCAGAAATATTGGTGAAAGTGGAATTTGTAATGGGCTCCATCTGAACTTCACTGGCATCAGTGTTCTTGCCAACTACATAACCAGGGAAGTTGAGAGGAATTTGAGCTAAGCAATAGAGAGCAGTTACATACTTTGGAAATTGTAGGAAATCAGTAGAGTCAAGGCCAAAGCTGCAATTGTTAGTATGGGAAATTATACTATAATAGGAAGACTTTCAGAACTGGCTTGTAACTATTAGTCAAGTTTTTCTAGTATAACTACAATGCCAGGTAGATGCTAGCAATGTGGAAGATTGCACACATGCATCCTGCCCACGAAAAACACGACCAATGCGACCTGACCAAGTATTGCCCTGTCAGTCTACTCCATCATCAGTGAAGTGATGGAAGGAGTCGTCAACAGTGATGTTTGCTCTGCTCATTGATGCTCAACTGGATGCTGCCAGGGCCAGTCAGCTCCTGACCTCAATGCTTTAGTTGAAACATGGACCAAAGAATTGAATACCAGAGGTGAGATGTGAGTGATTGCTCTTACCATCAAAGACACATTTGATATGAGTATGGCATCAAGGAACCCTTGCAGAATGAAAGTCAGTGAGATTCTGGAAAGAAACTCTCCACTGATTGGAGTCATACCTAGCATAAAGAGAATGGTTGTGGTTGTTGGAAGTTGGTCATTTCAGTTTTAGACATCTCTGTATGGGTTCCTCAGGGTAGTGTCATAGGACCAACCATTTCAACGGTTTAATTAGTAACGTTCCCTCCATCATAAGACCAAAAGTAGGGGCTGATCACTGCTCAATGTTCAGCACCATTTGTTTTAACAACTGGAATCCAAGTTTAAATATCAGATCTGGACATTTCTCATCAGTCTACTGCTGTCAGCAAGAAGTTCAGCAGACCTGAAAAGTCGTCATATTTTAACTTTTGTTTCCAGACCTTGGTCCAGAGGGTTGTGTTTAACTCTTTTTTTTTTTTAGAAAAACTGTAAGGGCTTTTAGGCCTTGTTTGAAATTCTGTCATGATGACCAGATTAGACTTGAAGCTGTCTGATTTGGCCCACCATGCATTCTGTGCCTCAAATAGGTATAGTTACAAGTTTGTTTTTGCTTTCTTGAAAAGATTTTGATGTAGTACTTGTATCATTGTGTCTCAGCCATGATGCATACTACCATTAAGTCATTAATTTACCTACTCTTTCATTCCAATAAAATGCTCCAGTTAGTTTCTTTTCATTTTGTATACCTTGATTATATTCACATCCCCAAATGTCCACCAGTTGCATTCCAAATTATGAAATAAAATACATACATTAATGAGGCTCTGTATGTGTGTGATATTATGATTTTTTTCTTTTTCAATTCGTGGGATGAGGGGCATCGCAGGCTAGGCAGCATTTATTGTTGGTCCCTAATTGCCCAGAGGGCAGTTAAGAGTCAACCACATTGCTGTGGGTCTGGAGTCACATGTAGGCCAGACTAGGTAGGAATGGCAGTTTCCTTCCCTGAAGGACATTAGTGAACCAGAAGGGTTTTCCCGACAATGGATTCACAGTCATCATTAGATTCTTAAGTCCAGATATTTATTGAATTCAAATTCCGCCATTTGCCGTGTTGGGATTCGAACCTGAGTCCCCAGAACATTATCTGGGTCTCTGGATTAACAGTCCAGCGATAACACCACTAGGCCATCACCTCCCTATATATAGTGTAGAACTCCTAAAATCTTGCAGCAAGTTAAATTTAAGATACTGATTTTTGTTTCATCAGGCAATGGCTACACTTGGACCACACAGAGTTAAGGCAGATGGTGAGTAGAAGCATAAAATTTTAATAATACTTTGGCATTTTATTATTGCTATTAAAGTGTATTTATATTTTTTCGTTTAAACTTTAGCATCTACCAAGACAGAGAAACAACTTCACAGCGCCAGATCAGAAGATGGCAGGTTATTTTATGATGGGGAGTGGTACAGCCGTGGGCAGACTATATGTATTGACAAGAAAGATGACTTTCCTATAAGGTAATTATGTTTTTTTTCCTTAAATTTTTGAAGTATTTGCAATTACAGCAAACTTTGTTTTAACCAGCACATTATGAACTGGCACTCTCGATAAACTAAACTGGCTAAAATTATATGCTGCATACCAGATATTTACTGTATTATCGTGATCTCCGCGATGTCCGAGTAAGTCAGTTGAGGGTGCAAGTGAGAAGGCTATCTGGCGGTAAGTTTTACTTAAGGCAAAGTTGCATTATTATTTAGGGATTTATGCTGTAAATGAAGTAACAGTAATGTGTATACCCCCTGCATTACTTTCCTATTACTTATTGTGTGTTTTGACATTGTGTAGACCTCTTGATCAACTAGAATATTTGATCAACCGGCTCACTCCTGGTCCCATAGGTGCCGGTTAATAAAAAGTTTCCTGTACTGAAATTTGTTGACTAACTAATTTGAAGAGGGAAATGTGCGGTATTGACTTAATCCATATATGAAGAGTTGTGTTATTGAAAATATGTTCAGCCTCATTGCTTATTCTCACTTAACAACAAATGTTTGATCCTATAGTAAATGTTACAAGTTTGGCCCCGGTTAGTTTCTTTTCCAAGATACCAAAGGATTGATCTGTGCTGCAGAGGAACAGGTTTATTTTCCACTACTGAATTCCCAATCTTAGATGTAGTTTTATGGAGGAGTGACCACAATGTTTATAATTACAGAAGTAGTGAGAGACTTTCAATTGGCAGTCTGAAATAAAAACAGAAAATATCAGGAATGTACAGCAGGTCTGTGAAAAGAGAAATGAATTAACATTCCCAGTTCTAATGGAAGGCCATCAACCTGAAATGGTAGAGATGTAATAGTGTTTTTTAAATCAGTGGATTTTTTGGGGGGTGAGGGGAGTATGTTGAGAGTGAGAAAAGCAACACAAAATCTGTTGTGTGGAGAGCAGGAGAAATTAAATTACAAAAGTGTTCAAGGTACGCAGGAAACGGGAGTGGTAATACGACAAGTAAGGAAACAAAACTTGTTTTGGAGGTATGAAAGGTCAATCATGAATGACTGACTGCCATCCAGAAGCCACTGGTGTACAAATATATAAATATGGGAGCAGGAATAAGCAACAGAAATATGTATAAGAACTGCGTTCTGATGAAGGGTCCCAACCAAAAACGTTGACTTTCCTGCTCCTCTGATGCTGCCTAACCTGTTGTGTTCCTCCAGCTCCACGCTGTGTTGACTCTGACTCCAGCATCTGCAGTTCTTGCTATCTCCAAAAGAACTGCAGATGCTGTAAATCAGGAACAAAAACAGAAGTTGCTGTAAAAGCTTAGCAGGTCTGGCAGTAACTGAAGAAAAATCAGTTAACGTTTCGGGTCTGGGGACCCTGCCTTAGTTCTGTCGCAGGATCTGTTTCAAAGAAAATTTTTCTTCTGAGCCCAAGATGGGCATAAAAGGATTGGGATGGGTGAATTACATAATTAAAAAGAAATGTGAAATCTACTGTGAGACTTCCATTTTTAGATTAACCATGTAAAGATTGGGAACATGCAAGGTATCTGTTCTCAAGGTGGGAGATCCAAGTTGAGATTCTAAGGTTTAGGAAATCCAGCAGCTGAATAATGACAGGAGTCGTAGAGTTTAGTGTTTTACTAGCAGTGCTTGTGAGCCAGATGAACATGCATATCTCTCTTCTCCCCACACCTTCTCGAATGCTGCTAGTAAAATTGCTATGACCTCCTTTACCCACGATCCGATCACCCTTTCCCACAGTCTGATTGCCCTTCCCATAATCACAATGATCATTCCCAGGAGTGGTCTATAGGCACTACTGTTTGGGAAGTAGATTAAAAAAGTCCTAATGAAGGCTGAGACAACAATGTGTGTAGAGCTGGATGAACACAGCAGGCCAAGCAGCATCAGAGGAGCAGGAAAGCTGACG